CTGCTCCCAGCGCCCACCGAGGCCGGGCCGCCCCGCGTCCCCGCGGCCATGGCGCGGCCGCGCCGCCTGGGCTGCATCCCGGAGCTGCAGCTGGCAGCCTTCCCGGCGGCGGCGGCCGAGGACGAGGCGTTCCTGCCGGAGTCCCTGGCCCGGCGCGCGCCCCGCTGGCCACGTTCGCCGCCCTCCTCGCCCGTCTTCTTCGCCAGCCCGTCCCCAACTTTCCGCAGGCGCCTCCGGCTTCTCCGAAGCTTCCAGGATCTCGGCCGCCAGGCGTGGGCTGGGTAAGTGCGCCCAGGTGGGTTCGAGTCTCCATGTCGGGGTCTGGAGTCCGCAGCTGCCTCTGCCCAGCCTCATCTTTCCTCTTCCGTCGCAAGGCAGCGATAAACATCATCCCTGCCCGCGGGGTTGCCGTGGAGACATCTGATAGGGCATGCAGTAGGCGCTCAATAAACGCTACGTTCTTCCCACTTCCTGCGCAGACCTGAGTCTGCGGTCAGGCTTTGGGGGAACCAGCCTGCCACGCAGGCTGATCTTTGGACGCTAGTTCCCTTGTGTTGGCCTCAGTCTACCGGCCTGTGAAATGGGCCAGCGATGCACTCGCGGTTGCTTTGCCGTCAGGCTCGCTGGTCAATGCGTGCACCCGGCGCGGAGGGCAAATTGAAGTTCCCTTCCCGGCTATACCTGGGGTGCTGGGGGGCTGGCAAGCTGGCGGCCCATCCGAGCTGGCTTGCCTGGCAGCCCGACGGCGGGCACTGGCTGGAGCTGGGGGGTCCTCCTTTATCCTGACTCGCCTTGGGCACTCGTTTAGAACCAGAGTCCGAGACACAGGCTGGGAGAGGGCATTGCGGGGACAGGACGGGGACCCGGCGGGAGAGATGGGGGCAGGGAGAGACGAGGAGGAGGGCCGGGGCCGTTGGGAGCCCCTTGTGGGGCCGGGGAGGGCGTAGGGGCAGGGAATCAGTTCCTCTCTCTGGTTTCCCTCAGTGTCTCTGTCTCCCCTTCTCTCTGTCTCTTCTGTCTCTGTTCCGACCCCCAGCTCCACCCCCGGCATCCGTCGTCCCTCCCCCTGGTTTTGGTCACCAGACCCCGCACTCCGCCGGCGCGGGAGGGCGTCTTGTCCCTCCAGGAGCGCCGGGCGCTCTGAGACTTCCCGCGGGCACAGCTCGACGTCAGGATGGGGAGGGGGTGAAGGCGGGGCCAGGGGCAGGGGCGGGGTGGGGGGCGGTGGGCCCGGAGCCTGGGAAACCAGAGCTCGGGGCCACCCGCCCCGCCCCCCCGCCCAGGCCCGGGGGAAAGGAGGCAGGCGGGAAGTGTGCGCAGAGCGGTGCCGGGCTCACCGGAGGAGGCAGGCGCCGAGCCCAGCCCCGGGCGCTGCGGACTGGAGGACACCCGAACGCCCATGGCCTGGGAAGTCACCCGGAGGGCGGGTGTGAAGGCGGTGCCAGCGCCGCCGCGGGCGGCCCGGGACATCTCGGGCCCGGAGAGCAGCGTCCGCTACCCCGCGGTGCGTGCGGCCGTCTCCATGCGCGCCCGGAGGGCGCTCGGCAGCCCCGCGCTCCAGAGCAGCCCGCCGCCCGGCAGGCCCCGGCGCCCTGCCCTCGCGCTGCCCTTCGCGGGCCCTGAGTCCCTGGTCCACTTCTCCTTCAGTGACGAGGACACCTGTTGGCACTCTCCGGGCAGATCCGTCAGGTGGGTGGCCCGCGGCCAGTCCCCTCCTTTCCCACCAGAGGGCTCTGGATGCGTTGGTGGGGGTGCCCAGGCTGCCGTCGGGAGCCTCCAAAGTGGTTTGCAGAGCCTGCCGGAGCTCCCGCCCCTTTCCCTGTTTCTAAACGTCTGGGTGCCTCCGAGGGCTTCCTGCAGGTGGTGGCTCTGAAAATAGGCGCTGGGTCCTGCCCCCTTTCTGCCCACTCCAGATGGGATCCCTTCACCCTCTTTGTGCCCCTAAACCTGGACCTTTGGCACTCACCCTGGCAGCCAGTATGCGTGTCCAGCGTCACCTGGGCTCCACTCCCAGGCCGCGGGCCTCCAGCCAGGTCCCTCAGGCCTTACCCTCCCTCCCTCCTGCTGGGGCTGCCAGGCTGAAAGCCAGGCGGTGGGTGTGGGAGGAGCTCCCTGCGGGAACTCCTGGAGGGCAGTGAGAAGCTACTGGACAGGGGCGGAGGAGCAGCTTGTAAATTCTCAGAAGTCTTGGGGTACTCCAGCAATGTTCTTGCTCCCCTCCAGCACCCCCTTCAGACACCTGGACACACGCATGCTCCCCAACAAGGCACATACACTCCACATACACAGCCATACATGACATAAACAGCACACCCACACACAGGGCAATCGGGGTTGACCCATGGCCACGGTGACACACAGACCACAGAAACTCTGGCCTTTTAAACTTTGTATAGACTACACTGCTTGCAGGAACACACTCTCACTGCAACACATACCCAGGCCTGACTCCCACCTGCACATGGCCACACACAGGAGCACACCTCATACCCCTCAGGAGTCAGGCACAGTCTCAGCACATGTGCACCGCACACAGGTACACCCTCCCAAACCCACAGGACTCGGAGACACACAGACCCACACAAGCGCTGTGAACACCCAGACCCCACTCACACACACAGATGTGTAAATCCACACGGACAGCCTACATGCACACAGATGCCCCTGAGCACCCCCTCTGACTCACACATGCACAGACCCTCCTCCTACTCTTAACCCCACTAACAACTGTGTCACTGGCACCACGCGCCAGCCTGGCAGATACACGCCAGCACCCGCCCTTAACCTCCATGTGACCTTCACAAAGCAAATGCCAGGTCCTTCCATAAAGGCTGCCTGGCACCTCCGACAAGGGTGTCAGTTGGCGTGGGGCAGAGCCTGGGGAGCTGCCAGGCTGCCTGGGGGGGAGACAGACACCCAGTGATTTAGCGTGCTTTGTAGCTTTGAGCCTGGCTTCCCTGGTTCGAATCCTTGCTCTATCACTAGTCACGTTATTCATCCTCTCAGTTTCTCTCTCTCTCCGGAAAATGGGGATGCGTTCGTGTTCAGGCAAAGCACAATGCTGGAGCACGTGGCATTCCAGAGCAGCTGGCTACTGTCATTGTTGTTATGATTTTTACCAACTGGGATATGTCCCCTCTCATTGCCACAGGCCTACCCTCACCCCAGCTTGTTTGCTTCCCATTGGCTCCTGCAGCAGGACTTTCTAATCTGCCCCTGGACTGCACAGTCCTCCAGAGGCCCAATTTGATGTTCAAAAGCCCAGGGGGACAGGACTAGAGGCCCCAGAGGGGTGGAAGCAGGTAGCACCTTCACCTGAGAATGCCACCAAGCGGTCAGCCTATCCCAGGGGGAGTCTTGGGCAGGTCATTTCCCTCCTGATGGAGTGTCGGGGCACGTGGCTGTGATGTCAGGGCCTGTTGGCTGTCCTTGACGACACTAGTCTGTGGCTCTGGGCCCCATGGGGACATCTCCAGTGCAGCCTCTAGCCTGATTTTGGGTCACCCTGATCAGTAGCAGGCCAGGGAGGGGTGACTCCCCACAGCCTGGGGGTCCAATTCTGGGGAGTAGCTGAGACCCCCTTATTCGCAGGCTGCAGTTCAACAGGCCTGATCTCCTATGTGCCCTTCTGCAGCCTCGGGGACATGCTCCTGGAAGCACAAACAGTGGGGCCCCAGGGACCATCTTCCCATCCCTGCCTCTGGGCTCCTGCTTGCAGTGAGTCGAGTCCCCTGGGGCTGCCGTATCTACCCGAGATGCTAGTTGGTTGCCCTCTGGGGCTTGGGTCTCACCTTCCCTAAACAGCACTTCAGTTCCTGGGGCAGGGGAGGGGTCCTCTCTACATAGGTATGCTCCGCCCCCTTCACCGTGGCACTCAGCAGAGTCAAAAAATCCAGGCTGGGCCTTGGGAGACAGGACATGATTCTCAGGTAATGAGGCTACCAATCCCTCGCCAACACTCTGTGCCTGTCTTTTCATTGAACCAGGAGGTAAACAGAATCCAAATCACGGAGTTGGAAGGAGACATACTGGGTTCATGTATATAAAGCACTCAATGCCACAGCAAGTACTCAGTGTCTTGTTATTATTACTATACACCTAAAAGGATTTAACCTGGGACCCAGTACACAGCAGGTGCTCAATAAGTGGGCATTATCATCAGAGGCTCAAGCTCATGATTAGGTATTCCATCTTAAGAATGTGTTTTTTTAAAAAGATGAACACAGCCCTAGCTGGTTTGGCTCAGTGGATAGAGCGTCAGCCTGCGGACTCAAAGGGTCCCAGGGTTCGATTCCAGTACAGTAAAGGGCATGTACCTTGATTGCAGGCACATCCCCAGTAGGGGGTGTGCAGGAGGCAGCTGATCAATGTTTCTCTCTCATCGATGTTTCTAACTCTCTATCCCTCTCCCTTCCTCTCTGTAAAAAATCAATAAAATATATTTAAAAAAAAAAGATGAACACATATTAAATTAACCCTTTTTATATACATCTTCATGAAGTTCTTTTGCAAATTGTTTTTTATTTATTTACTAGAGGCCCAGTGCACGAATTCGTGCACGGGTGGGGTCCCTCGGCCTGGCCTGTGATTGAGGCCTATGGGGGAGGGGCCAGCAGGCGCAGGGTTGGGGAGGGGGGAGAGACCATGGGGGTTTGGCTGTGGGAGCACACTGACCACCAGGGGGCAGCTCCTGCATTGAGCATCTGCCCCCTGTTGGTCAGTGAGCATCATAGCACTGGTCGACCGGTCATTCAGGTTGTTTGGCGGTAACGGTTGCTTAGGCTTTTATATAGAGAGATTTATATTAAAATTTTTTAATGTTGACATTATTGTGGGTGTCTCCCTTTTTCCCCTCTTTGCCCACCTCCACCACCCCCTTTAGCCTTCACCACACTATTGTCCATGTCCATGGGCTATGTATATACGTTCTTTAGCTAATCCCTTCACCTTCTTTATCCAGCCACCCCACACTGCTTCCCTCGGGCACCAGCCAGTCTGTTCCATGTATCCATGCTTCTGGTTCCATTGTGTTTGTCAGTTATTTTTGTTCATTGGATTCCACATATTAGTGAGATCATATGGTATTTGTCTTTCTCTGGCTGGTTTATTTGCTTAGCAAAATACTCTCCAGGCCCATCCATGCTGTCACAAAGGGTAAGAGATCCTTCTTTTTTATAACCGCATAGTATTCCATTGTGTAAATGTTCCACAGCTTTTTTATTTACTTATCTGCTAATGGGCACCTGGGCTGTTTCCAGGTCTTGGCCATTGTAAATAATGCTGCTATAAACATAGGGGTGCACATATTCTTTCAGATTGGTGTTTTGGGACTGAAATGTTTTAAATTGTGATAAAATATAAATAATACAATTTCACATTTTAACCATTTAAAAAATACATGTTTTTATTGATTTTTAGAGAGAGGAAGGGAGAACGATAGAGAGATCAAAACATTGATGAGAGAAGAACATCATCAGCTACCTCCTGCACAACCCCTACTGGGGATCGGGCCCGAAATCCAGGTGGGGGATTGATCCAGTGACTTCGATTCCTGGGTCAACGCTCAACCGCTGAGCCACACCGTCTGGGCCCGTTTTAACCATTTTTGAGTGTACAGTTCAGTATCATTAAGTACATTCACATTGTTATGCCGCCATCATCACCATCCATCCCCAGAACTTTTTCATCCCAAACTGAAACTCTGTCCCTACTAAACACTAAGTCCCCCTTTCCCTCCTCCAGGCCCTAGCACTCACTATTCTAACTGCTGCCTCTATAAATCTGACTCCTTCGGGGACCTCCTATGAGTAGAATTGCACAATTACACAACAAATTGCATCATTTGTCGAAAAGACTGTCCTTTCCCATTGACTCGTCTTGGCACACTTGTCAAAAACCATTTGACCATATATGTGACGGGTTTATTTCTGGGCTCTCTAAGCAATTCTATTGGTCTATTTGTCTTTTGTATTTGGCTTATTTCATTTAGCATAATGTTTTCAAGGTTCATACACACACACACACACACACACACACACACACTGAGTGGCCAGATTATTATGACCACCCCATCAGTACTTCCTTGGGCCACCTTTTGCCTTCAATACTGCGGCGATTCTTCTTGACTCCACGAGATGTTGAAAGGTGATGCGAGGAATCTGACACCATGCCTGAGCAATAGCACCGTCCGATTCTGTGAGATTTGATGGTTGTGGAACCAGCTGCCTGATGGCTCTTTTAACTTCGTCCCACAAATGCTCAATCGGATTGAGATCTGGTGATTGTGGGGTCACCTAAGCAAGGTAAAGTCTCCCTCATGTTCTTGAAACCACTCCTGCACAATATGAGCACCGTGGCATGGCGCATTGTCTTGTTGGAAGAAGCCATCTCCATTGGGATACGCCATCAATATGATAGGATGAATTTGATCAGCAATGATACTTAGGTATGTTGTGCTATTCAGACGTTGTTCCACATGAATTAAGGGGCCCAAATCATGCCAGGAAGACATGCCCCAAACCATAACACTGCCTCCACCAGCTTGCAGGGTTGTACTCATGCATGTGGGGTGCATGCTTTCATGCTGTTTCCGCTAAATTCTCACTCTGCCATCAGCATGATGCAACTGGAAACATGATTCATCGGACCACATGACTTTTTTCCAATGCTCGACTGTCCAATCCTTGTGT